GACTGTACTCTCAGATGTTCTCACCACCAGGGTGTGTGAGCTTCTTGCCTGTTTGCCCACAGCCTCGCTCACTGAATGTGTTGTAAGGCTTTTCAGTTTTTGCCAGTTTGATAGATGAGAAAATGTTATTGCAGTGGGGTTTTAATTTGCATTTCTCCCTTCTAAGTGAACTTGAACATTTCAGGTGCTTAAGGGCCATTTTTATATCTTCAGTTTTTGTTATTTGCCAGTGTCTTTTGCCCATCTTCTAACGTGTTTGGTCCCCCCACGCCCCTAGTTTTAAAGAGCTCTTTACAGGGGCGTCTGGGCAGCCCAGTGCGTTGAGCATCCACCTCTTGATTTCCGTTCAGGTCATGATCTCTGCGCTAGCAGCCTGGAGCCTGCTTGGGATTCTCTCTCTCTTCCTCCCTCTCTGCCCCTCCCTCGCTGTCTCTCTCTCTCAAAATAAATATACTTTAAAACAAAACAAAAAAGAGCTCTTTATATAGTAAGAATATTAGCACTTTATCTATGATATTATGTTGCATATATTCTCCCCCAGTATTTTTAGTTGGTTTTTGACATGACAACACCCATTTCGATATTTTGTATGTAAGAATGGAGCTCCAATAATCTCCACCATTTTTTTAATAAAGAAGACACGAGGCATCTGTGTGTCTTCAGGATAGATGTCTTAACTTCCTTGGTGACACAGAGATGCTTGATGAACACCAAGTGCTGGTCCCTGCAATGCAGCCTGTGCTCCCCAGCCTCTCTGAGACCAGGCTCATGAGAACGTTCTGAGACCTTCCTCCTCTTCCCCCAGAAGAGCCACACGCGTACAGCAGGACCTGCTGTGGGCCTGCTTCCAACAGAAAGGTTAGCCAGGCTCCACTTTCTTTTCCCCTGTCATTCCTCATCCTCCACCCACATCTGGAAAGATAAGAGGCACCTCTCCCCTGACGCTGAGCACAAGAAGCGCTTGTGTCCTGTCCGCACACCTCCTCTGTGCTTTTTGTGTTGCACGGCTTGTGACTTCTCCACCTGCATGGGGCGGATCCAGGCGATCCTTACCCAGCGTGGGGGAGCGGGATTCTCTGGGCACTGAGGAACGGTCTTTGCACCCCAGGCGTGGAAATCTGGGCAGAAATGTCCCTTCCCCGCCTATGAAGCGGAAGCTGCCCACTAAGTATCACTCGTTTCTGTGGTAGCATGTGAGCTGTGGGCGGTGCGCCCAGACCACACAGCTTTCTGCTTCCTCGGGCACATGATTTGACTTCTTTGGGCTTCTGTTTTGCGCCCCTTGGAAGCAGTGTAATAAAGTGATTAAGAGAATGGTCTCTGGAGTCCGACTCTTGGGTTCAAATTCTCATTCCACCGTTTCCCAGCCCTGTAACATCTGGTGCTCTCTGTGCCTCCAGGCCTGGCCCGTAAGTGAGTTAATACACGAGAAATCTCAGAATAGCTCCTGGCATATGATGAGGGCTTGGTAATTGTTCGCTCTTATCATCATCAACCACAAAAGAAATGCTTCTGGGACACTGTGCAGCTTAACTAAGATAATGTAAAGTGCTCATCATATGTACTCCATAAATTTTAATCCAGTGAGTTTAGAAATAGAAGAGAGTTTTTAAATATCTCTTACTTTTCAGGAAGAAAGCTGGCATTTCTGTGCTGTTTTGTGTTGAAGTAACAGCATGAACAGGCTCGCTCTCTGAGTTATTTCTGCCTGGAAAGGGGGTGTCATTGTGTTCTGAGCTCAGCACATCCTCGGCTGCCCAGATCTTACCACACTTACTCTTTCGGCCATGTTGATGGCTATCTTGACTCTTGTCAAAATTTCTAAATCGTCTCCCAGCTGGTGTCATAGATTCTTTAGTTTGGTTGAAAAGAGGAATCTCTTCCTGTACGTGGATCCGTGCCTGTCAGTGGTCAGGTCTGTGCCGTTGAAAGCGGTTGTGAGTTTGTTATTCATTCAAGTGGCCACCTGACCTTTCATGACAGGCAAATTTGTATCAAGGACCTGCAGCCAAACATTAACGCGGTCACAGACTTCATTAAGTCATCAAAAACATTCTCAGGGCTAAGAGAATGTTGCCCAGATTGTATGATCTGGCTTTAATTAGCCTCGGAGCATGGACACTACCCAGCTCCTGTTCCTGCACCTAGGAGAAGGGGAGGAGGAGGATAATTAACAACAACAGCAAACATCTAGTGTTATGGCCAGATGCCCAGCACTCTGCTGAGGTTTAAAAGCAGCATCGCGTGTGTTCCTCACAGCAGGCCTATGAGCTAAGTGCTTTTGATCCTGCGTTTTACAGATGAGGAAACTGAAGCCCAGAAATACCAAGTAATACACTAAGCTCACGTGGTAATACGTGGCATATTTACACGCCCCTGGCAGGCTAACCGCAGAGTCTGCACCACTGGGCTACACAGACGCCTGAGCAAAGAGGGTGCCGACCAGAGGGTCACGAAGGACAGGATCCTTCATCATCAGTGACCCACCTCGGGAAGGAGACCGCACCTCGTCTGCCTTTCTCATGGAGTCAGCGTAGACATTTCCTCTCCGGTGGAGTAGACCTCATTCCTGTTCCCTCCTTTCGGTTTTTACCCAGTCTTTGTTTTCTGGAAATGTGGCAGGGTCTGCTTAGCAGAGCAGTGGGAAAGGCACTCAAGGGCCGGAGCCAGCTAGTTTTTTTTTGAGTTTTAAAAAGTGCTTAGAAGTCTTACTTCTCCTCCACTGAAAAAGAAAGGGAAAAAAAAGTTTCCATGTAGTTAATTACTTCTTGCAAGAGAAATACAGGAGCAGTAGGACCATGAAGACCCTTGAGAATGAGAAAACAGGATGTCAGAAGCGCGAGGTCTGAGGCTGTTTCACACATGTGAGGAAATAGCTGCATTTGAGAAATAAGTGAAATCACCAAAAATTTAGTATTAAAAGAAACTACAAATGAGGAAATACATATATAGCAACATCATGTGTGATTAGATCAGACTAGCTAGCCCTAAAATAAGGTCTACATCAATAGAAAAATAAAAATAAAGCCAACATTTAGGCCAGGTTTAGCACCGAGTGCCGGAAGCAGTGGGAAAGATGACTTATCCTGGGAAAGGGGTGGAAGGTGGTTTCCTTAAAATTTGAAAAAACCGTCTGAAGCTGACATCCTTTTATTAAAAGCACCAGTATCGTATGCATGTTTGATCTCCCTCTGCTGCAGTATCTCCTGACCAGCCTCACTGCCTCTCATTTGAGGGACCGGATGGATGCATCTGTGCACACAGACTGGGGCTGCCCGGCTCGGGCCTGCCAGCAGCTTATTTCAGAATTCTCTCTCTGCTTCAGGTCTCTGTCCTCGGATGCCCTGATCCAGCGGTGCATGAGATTGCCTATCAATACGGGAAAAACGTGGGAATAGCCTTTCAGGTTGGTCTGCTGCTTTTTAAGAACGTGGCCTGTTGGCACAGCGGGAGGGGCAGCCGCGATGCGGGATGTGGTGCTCTAGATGCCCCTCTTTCCCTTCCGCCAGCTAATAGACGACGTGTTGGACTTCACCTCGTGTTCTGACCGGATGGGCAAACCAACGTCGGCAGATCTGAAGCTTGGGTTAGCCACCGGCCCTGTCCTGTTCGCTTGCCAACAGGTAGGTTTTCCAAACTCCCTTGGACACACTGCTTTGTCTGCTCCAGGCACAGCTGATGGGAAGGTATGGGGTAAGCATTTAGGTAAGCTGATAGGGGAGATACGGGAAAGCATTCAGGTAAGAGACCTGGACCTAGATTTGATCCTGGCCCTGGGGCTGAGATGTTGGGACCAGCCATTTTACTTCTAAGCTTTATCTGTGAATAAAACTTGAAACGGAAGAGATTACAACTTTCCCCTCAGGGTCGTACTGAAGATTAACTGAGAAAATGCTCGGAAGTACCTCGTAAATTAAATGCTGTATGTGTTTAAGGTAGCATTACGATTATTTCCGTATATTTTAGGCACTGACAAGGTGAATGGTTTCCGCATCTTGATTATAGGACTGGATTTGGGATGTGCCTCAGAGCCCCTTAAAAAGGCACTGGAAGGGCCTCCCAGCATAAGAAATTCTGCAGTTCTAGAAGTTTAATGAGAATGTTTGCTGCTCTCAGAGGGCCTTGGCCATTGCCTCAAAATGTCAAGAACATTTACAAGGACAACTAGAACCACATAGTTCTTTCTTTCTCCAGATTGAGGGACTGTCAATTAAGGAAGTAAGTAAAAGCTGCCTTCATATTCTCCTTCACGTGGATGAAAAAGCTTAGGAAGCTTCAGAGATGCCGCAGGGACTGGCGAGGCAGACATTTATTTCCAGAGCCTGCTCTGGAGGCCGGCCACATGGCTGTGGCTGGGCCAAGTGTGGTTTGAAGTGAGTGGGACATTGGCTGGCATTTGGACATCTTTTTAATAGATTGTAACTTTGCAGCGTATTTAGTCCGGTATTTAGCAAAGCAGTAACATGTTCATCACCAGTCCATGAAATGAAGAATTATTAGTTCTTTGGTCTAAAATTTTAGTAACTTTTAGTTTTTGAGAGATTTGCCTGTATTCTTTCTCACAATTTACAGAGATAAACTATGTCTTCCGTAGAACTCAGGGATTCTGTTTTGACATTATTGAAACCAGTGACCTTGCTTTTGATCAATTTCCCACCCAGGGAAGGAGAGATCATCTTTTGTCCACTGTCTAGCAGAGCCATAACCAGGGTAATTCTCCTTTAAGGGAATCTAGCAGCTGGCGGGGGTGAAGGGGCGGGGTGGACCAGGTGATCTTGGCCAACGCTAGTGGACATCAGTCAACTGAGGAATGAAGTACCCACTCACCCACCCAAAAGGAGATGTTGAAGCCCTTTGTGGAAATAGCAGTCCTCACTACCAGGCTCTGTCCTCTCAGAATTTTGAGGCAGAGGTGAGAAGAGAACGAGGTGTTATAGATGGGTTCTTTCTCCTCATGAGACTAACTTGCCAGCCCAAAACTCAATAATATTAATACATGTGCTAAGTTCCGACAGAATTTATAAAATCCTCTTTGTATACATTAACGCATGAGCAAGGAACATTTTCTTTTTTACTATTAACCCACAAAACGGAGGATTCATAAACCATGTAAACGTAAAGGCATGCCTGAGGCCAGAAAGATCAGTCACTGGCTGCTGTCTGTACAGACTCCAAACAGTCTATTCAGACGCTGTTTAGTAAATGTTGAGTCAGGAACAGGAGGAATGGAGGGAATGGAGGCTGCCAGCTCAGTGAGGATTCTTTCAGTGAGGCCCTGAGGTTATCAAGATGACTAAGGAACAAGCCTTTTCCTAAAGAAGCTTGTAGTCTACTAAAAAGCTTGATGTGCCGTACTTTTAGAAATCTTAACAATGACAAATAATTGTCATGAGCCCCAGGACACTAACAGCTGACTCCGCTGAACCTTTTAAGATGATGGATGGAGAATGGATGCCTCTTCTGATTGTTTCACTATGAACCTATTTCAACAGAAACTAATTAACTTTCTTCTACACAAAGGAGTTGTGAATTGTTCTCCTTTCAGATACACTGGGACAAAGTTGGGGAAAAATGGATCATTCCTGTATCACCCCAACCTATATGTGGTCAGTAATACATAAGAGATTTAAAAATACTGGTTTAAAAAAGGGGGGCGGGGCAAGGAAAAGGAATACACAGAAGCTTACCACGTCCTTAACCACAGTGCTACGGGTGTCTCACTGGGAAATGCAGCGTCACGAGGTACCCATTCACCCTCACCAGACAGTGCTGTTCCCATCTGCCCACAAGGCAGTAGGAAAAGGGAGTTAAAAGGCACATGGCCGCCTAGAAAGGGGAACACAGAGTGAGGCCAAGAGGGAAGTGACTCTGGAAAGAACCTGCTTCCTAAGTAGATCAGCTGTTTCTGTCCTGTGGCTTATTGGCAAAAGTTAGTACAAAAAAGCGTTGTCGTTTTAAAAGAAAATATCAGGTTTAGTCTCCACTACAGATTATATCAGCAAAAAAGGGGTTCTTGGCCAGAAATGTGTCAGATATTTATGGGGCTCAAAGTGATTTAGGGTAAAACAAGTTCCAAAATAACAGAAGACTGTGCAGTATCTTCATTTAATGAAAATGCATTGTTTTTGTGGTCTGCAAAGGATTCTTTCATACGTTACCTCTAATCTCACAACTCCTCTTTGTGGTAGGTATTATGCCCATTCTACAAATAAGAAAGTGATGTGCAAACTTGGCCAAAATTAAACATCTGGTAAATGGCACAGCAGACAATTAGACGCCAACTCCTCTCAGACCAGTGTTCCTATCACTACCCAATGTATTACCAGTGCCAGTGCTGATGCTGATGCAAGCTGGCGCCTGCGGAGCTTGTCCGATCCCCAGTGGGGCTTCCCGCAGAGCAGGTAACTGGAGTTCTCTGCACTGGCGATGCTCAACGAAGAGCTTCTGTGTCTGCTTCCATGATTTGTCGTTAACCTAACCCATTTAGTGGACTCATTGTGAGATGTTTGTAATCTTTTCCACAGGTAGGGGAATTTTGTTTGCCAATTAATTAGCCCTTGCATTTTTCCATTTGCGAACACTGAGTCTCCACCAAGACAAACAAGCTTGGGAAGCCATTTTTCCTTTTTAACTTCACACAGCGGGTTGTCTTGTAATTGGAATTTGTTGGACCCAGCAACTTAGCAGAAACTCCCTCTCTTTGGAATTCACTATTTTTGACATCTCCTGAAGGTTTCTTGATAACCTTGGTACAGGGGATTTAAGGAAAGTTTCGGCATTTCTGAGAGGTCCCCATGATGCCAGTGTCCTTCCATGTATACGTGTATACGTATTTTCTGTAAGAACAGAAACATCGTGTTGAATCTTTAAAAAGTATAGAAGTTGGATTTTGAGATCTTCAGAAACAAAATGGAAGTGGTTTTTGGTGGTGTGTGTGTGTGTGTGTGTGTGTGTGTGTGTGTGTGTGAGTGAGAGAGAGAGAGAGAGAGAGAGAGAGATTACATTAGTTCTCAAATAAAGCTCTTTTCCTTTCTTCTGTTTCCCTTATTTGATAAGTCACCAGACCTAAATGTCAGCCTGTAGCTGTACTTCCAACTGCTGTCACCATCCCCAGCCCCTGCACCAGCTGCACAGGCTTCTGTTGGTGTTGTGACTAGCTGGTCCCTTAAGAGTTAGACAGGTTTCGTCTGAGCAAGCTCACTACATTTATCGATCACCTTCGTAGTTTGGTTTATGGACATATTTCACGGAATAGGAGTTGTCATACTCTTAAAAGGTTTTCCCCTTAAAACAGCCTTGTTAGGTTTCTCATTTCTCCACCTACACAGTAAGGGGACAGGGCAGTGCCTAGGGAAGAGTTTGGTATTTGCATATTAAAATTGTACACACTACTTGTTTAAAGGAAGGATGTAGTCACACTCCATGCAAATATTTTCTTCAAACTTTGCTTTCTCGATGTTTTTTATAGTAAAAGGAATCAGAGAAGCCACCCAAGCAGCACATTTTACCATATTTGTTGGTGTTGCAGGAAAAGCTCATATACCATAAACAAGGTAATTTACCAGATGCCCAGGACAGTATCATTATCAGCTTTGGGGGCATAGCCTTCCAGAAATCAGTTTGAGTGTGGTATTAAGACAAATGCCTATTTAATTTTGCTTTTTACCACTAAAATTGACTGATTTGAGCTTTCCTGATTTTGTTTCGTGTAAAATTTATTCTTTTAAAAGGTCACTAACTGAAACAAATTACTGGTTTTAAGTGCTAACTAGTTGCTGGCCTTTACATTTTCTAAGCATGTGAGCAACCTCTACGTGTTTAGAACTTTGTTCTGACACATACTTGACTCTGAAAGGAACATTCTTAATTCTTCCTCTGTCATCATCCGGTTGAGGTTTTTCTATGTGTGCCCTATTTTTTCTTCTAGGATTACTAATACCGTGGTGGTGGTTACAGGACAACAACTTCAGGCTCACTGCCAGGGAAAAACTGGCAACTGCTGTAAGCACTGATGTGTCCAAAACTAAATATATCTTCCCTCTTATTTCATGGAACCAGAAGCTGTTAGAGCTAATGGATTTTAGCTCCCATAGTTGAACTCCCTCGGGACACTGAGGAGGAGGCCAGGACACACAGGTTGAAGCCCACTCAGCTATGTCGGCACCAGAACTAGAGCTTCCCATCTAGAAAATGCAGTGACTCAGAGCCCTAACTTCCTGATTTTGTTAATGGTGGTAATTCTCCTGAATTATTGCTAAGTAATACAGAATATAGATTTTTATCTTCAATGTATGTATTTTCTTTTTTTCTCTTAGTGCCACAGTTTAACTTTGGTCTTCTTTATAATCAGCTACAGCAACCTGTCTCTACCTGTCTCCTGTAACTCAGTGGTTCTCAACCTTGGCTGCACATTAAAAACACCTGGCGAACTTTTCAAATCCTGATGCCCAGGACAGACCCCCACCCAATACAATCACAGTCTTTGGGAGCAGATCCAAGCAGCCATAAACTTCCCATGTGACTCCAGGGCGCAGTCAACGTTGAGCATCCGTTGCTCTGTTCCACTCGAGCTGCTAAGGCAGGGCTCTGCTCAGATCCTTCAGTAGCTTTCAGTGTCACTCAGTTTAGCACTAAAAGTAGAATGCCTAATTCCCAGCCTCATCCTAAGCGAGTGTTTTTCAAAATGTTAGCAGAGACCAGCAAAACCCACATCATCTGGAACCTGTTAGAAATGCGTGCCTGGGTCCCAACCCTATTGAGTGGCAAACTTTGAGGGAGTGGTCCAACAGGCCTCTGATGATTATGGTTCAATCTAAAGTTTGAGGACCAGAAGAGCAGCCAATAAGGAGATGTTAGGGATGTACTTTGTTCCCTCACTCTCTTTTACTCAGTGTTGGGCCCAAGGATAGAATAGAAAGAACCCCAGAATGAACAAACATCAACAGCTGCCTCTCCTGAGCATCAGACAGTCCCTGGGCTTGGAAATGGGTGTCTCTCTTAGCTCTGCTGCTTTAATTGCTACAATTTACTGGCCCCCCCCATCCAACATCATCTAAACATGTAACCACCTTTTTGTTTTTTCCTATTGTTACAAACTTAAGTGGTAGAACATTTGATTCTCACAAGAGCAGTAAATAGATTTTCTTTCTTTATGATTAGTTCCCAGAAATGAATGCTATGATAATGAGACGGTTCAGTTTACCAGGAGATGTGGACAGAGCTCAACAATACGTATTACAGGTAAGATTATCTTACAAAGATTATTTTACAACATGGCAAAGTTCTTTAGCCAAATAATGTAACAAATTTTAGATGCAAAACCAAGTGTGTTCAGTTGTTGATTTGGCAAAAACAGAGGGAGAAACTTGTATAATTCTTTTTCCTTCTAGAAGTCTTTCTGAAGACTAATTTAATTGGCGTTGGGTAAGGCTTGGATATTAGGATTTCACTAGTTTGAAACCAGCCTTCCCCAAATCCACTGGCAGCACTGCTGTTTTCCATGTCGCCCAGCTGTGCCTCCTGGTGTAAGCTCTTGTCTCGGCCACAGCCAGGTTGTGGGGCTCTTGCAGTTGCCTACCCAGCATGGGCTCTCCTCGTCCCTCTTACAACTGTGATCAATGGTAACTTAAAAAAAAACAAAAACAAAAAACCTACACAGGCAGACTGTTTAACCTTCAGGGTCTGTGAGCTTATTTCACATCTAGGGCCGCATATGCTCAACTTTTCTGTAGAAGCCAGATCTTTTTACATACTTAGTTTCGATAACTGTATTTTGAGAATGACCTATTTCCAAATTCCAAATCCAGAGTCATTTGGGGCCAAGAGATCAATGAATGAGACGAGCAAGCAATTTTTAGTGAGCCAGTGTGTGGTTTGAGATCTGTGATTAGTGCAGTACTTGAAAGACTTCCAAATAATAACTTTTAAGATTTCCAAAAAGCAAGGCCCCTCTCAAGGATAGAGTTCTCTTAACTCTCTAAACTGTTAAGCATCATAATTTGCTACCACCTTTGTGGAGGGTAGTTTGGCAGTACTGCTAAAAAACTTAGTGTGAGAAGGGGCTTTAGCTAATAAAGAAGTCGATGTGCCTGGGAGAGGTTCTGGTGTCAGAATAGTACCACCAACCACTGAAGTGAAAAGTGGGACTGAAGAGGGAAAATGAATTGTTGCTCTTAGCAAAACCATGAAGTTCCAACGAGCCCAGGCAGAAATGCATTTAGAAAAGTACAAGAATGTTCACTTAACAAATTCTCCAAAGACCTCTGAATTCTAACTCCTTTCACCCCGAGCTCCTAGTCCCTATTTCTTCATGAAAGATGGACAAGTAGGACTTACTTGGTAGGATTACTAAATAGTTGAGTAATGCTTGCTGAGACCAAGATGGACAGAAACAGAGAAAAATATCAGTAGGGGGGGGTTGAAAAATACTGTATCCATAAAACAAGAACAGGATATTAAAAAAAAAAAAAGAACAAGCTCTAAGAAAGTTTGATTGTGAAAAACTCCAAAGAAGGGTTAGAACGTGAAATTGAGCAGATCTTCAAAAACGTAAACAGCAAGGGAAGAAAATGAGCTTTTAGAGGATCAATGAGGTAACATATTTCAGGAAGAGAAAAAAAAATCAAAGAAAAGAGTGGCCCCTACAAAAGGAGAAGAGACCAAAACTGGCTCAGTGTATTGCAAAACCACTAGGTGATAGAAGGCAGAAAGCAAGGCCTTCCAAATGACAAAGAAACTTTTTTTTTAAGGTTATTTTTATTTTTGAGCGAGAGCAAGCATGAGCAGGAGAGGAAGAGAGGGGATCCCAAACAGGCTCTGCACTGGCAGCACAAAGCCCAACGAGGGGCTCAAACTCACAAACCACAAGATCATGACCTGAACCTAGACGGAGTCAGACACTTGACCAACTGAGCCACTCAGGCACCCTGATGAGGAAACATTTCAAAACAAGAGTTTTATATCCAAACCATCCATTAAATGTGAAGGCAGAAGTCATCACTCAAAAGCTATAAAGTTGAGGCGCCTGGGTAGCTCATTCGGGTAAGCGTCCGACTTTGGCTCAGGTCATAATCACAGTTCATGGGTTTGAGCCCTGCATCCAGCTCCATGACGTCCGCGCAGAGCCTGCTTGGGGTTCTCTCTCTCTCTCTTACCCTCCCTCACTCGTGTATTTCCTTTCTTTTTCAAAATAAACTTAAAACTATAAGGTTGACTTTCAGTACCCATTCTCTGAGTTATCTCTGGATGTATTTCAGGAACAACATGGAAACATCAGGAAAGAGAAAGATGCAGGCACTCAAACCAGTGGAATGAACTACAGTTTGATGAAGACAACTGTCTGTTAGAGCTGAGGCAGTCCGTCTAAACAATGAACAGAATGATGAAGGCAGTGGAAAGATTGGGGATCAGGAGTTTTTTCCCAAAGAGGAAGAAAAGGAAGCATTTACATTCATAAGTGGGCTCCTGTACACTAAGGCAGGGCAAACTGAAACGTGTCCTGTTTTGTGTCAGTTGGTAAAGTACAGAAAATCAGAACCTTTCAGACCAATGTTACGAATATTCTATTCTGAATAGGGGCCTTGTGAGCTTGGAACCATGGAGAGGGAGATGAAATTATAGTACATGACTTGATTCTGCAGTAAATGTATTTTTACATTACGGAAATAGTATTTTATTAGTGTTCAGCTTTTAGAACCAACATAAAAACATGGTTAGAGAGAATGCAAATCTCTATAGTGTAAATGTATAAAGAATAGGAGCACTTGATAGGATAGGATATCCTGGAGATAAAGTGAAAAGTTGATGCTACATCATGACAAAAGTAATTAAGAAAAGATGGCAATAGAATTAGCAAAATAAGAGGCCTAGGGTGGGTGGGCTAAATCCTCCTCCTCAGCAGGAAGGCAATAGCTAGTAACTAAAGTTGCTAATTAAGACCTCAAAACCAACAGATGACTGTGCCTTTGGAGGGAGGAAAGTATTGATTTTCATCATAAGGGCTCGGTACTTTTGTTATATATTGTTTTAACGTTAGATTCTTTTCACTTAAAAATTGATACTGTATACATGTAGAACTTTTTAAAAACTAATACTTAAAAACTAGGGAAAGGCAATGGCTATTTGAGATGAGTTCGCTGCTTTGTTAGCCTCATTCTGAGAAAAGTGCCTAAAGCAGCTGAACCGAGGAGTTGGAGGACACTTGAAACATAGTTTGGCTGTTGATCAACCTGATCTCGAAAGTACATCTTAATTCTCTACTATAGCAGGGAATTCGGAGCTGATCCAGTGAGTGATGCATCTGTTCTCTTGTTCTGTACCCGCCCCCGCAGAGTGACGGTGTGCAACAGACAACCTACCTCGCCCAGCGGTACTGCCACGAAGCAGTGAGAGAGATCAGTAAACTTCGACCGTCCCCTGAAAGAGACGCCCTCATACAGCTTTCAGAAATTGTACTCACGAGGGATAAATGACAACTCTTTGTTATTTCTGGCAGCTATTTTACCAGACTGTGCCTAAGGAATTTTGTGAAATACACTTTGCTTCACGTGCAGATAACCAAAAATCATTTAAAGAAAATCATTTCAACCTTATTGATGGGCAATTTTTTTATTGGCAAAGTTTTTCAGAAAACTTTTTAAATGTAATTAAACCATCTGAATCTGTCACTCTAGTCCTGTAAATCCTAATAGAGGTATCTTGATGGTTATATGTGGTATTGTTTACACTGTTAAGATCCACATGTAAAGCCATTACACAAATAAATAATCAATGTTAAAATTCAAATGGTTTATCTTGTTTCACCATAGGAGTCAAGGTCACAAAGTTGTGAAGTCTACATCTCAATCCACATTAGTTAAGATTTTAACAGTATCCAAAATTCATATGAGAATGGTTTATTATAAAAGACTGTACATAAAATTTAAACAGGTTATATACAAAATTAAGAGAACATTCCACTTGAAAAAATGAAAAAGGTGGCTAGCTGATCACTAGTGATACTGAAATCATGTTTAAAATTAACAAAGGCAAATGCATATACAACAGTCACATTGATTTGGTAGCAATAATGGCCTTTAATTTTCAGAAATAAATGTTTTTGCACTAGTCTTACCATTTACTATGCTGTTACAAGTCTGTAACGCCCAGTACATAACTGCAATTTGAAATCCAAACAAAGCCTCAATACACAGAAACCCACATGTGAGTGCTCTACTTTAATATCCTAGGCAATACAGAATTACACACAAGAGAAGAAAAAACATCCGGCCAACCTTCCCTTAAATTAAGAGGAGACACACAAAGTGCATGTGTTGCATTTTAGTTATTTCAAAAGACAATATAAATCTGTTGGTCAGGTATAGATCCCTGTTCACTGATTAATACATGATCCACCGTTTTTTAAATTATTTTCCTTTTAAAACCGTTTTATGTTGCTAGTGCCAGGTAATGGATTAATAGTGCCTATTGAAAAGTCCATTGCACCCACTTCTACAAAAACAATACGTAAACAAGACTTACAGTTTCCTTTTATTGAACCACTATACAACAGCCCACTGGAAAACAAGGACATAAGAGCAGTCCCTAAGAATTTGACTTAACAGAATGTGCACACTTTGACACATTTTCTTAGCTTTGAAAAAATTACGTTAGAAAAGGAATTCAGTAGATTGACTTGTAAATACCCATCTCAGATTTTAAATCTGCAAAAATCCATCACTGCCATTGGGACAGGTTGAGATAAGGCTAGTATTTTTTTTTTTCAGTTACTATATTGAGAAAATAGAACCATAATTCTGCAATAAATCAGTATACTTTATTTATTTATTCATTTTAAAAGCAAACCAGTGAAGGAAAGGACAAAAACCTTTGGTTCACTTATTTATGAATGGAAAAAATTTATAATGCAAATTTACTCATTAAAAAACTTAGGTACAAATTACAACATTACAGATAACCCTTTGTTTTGTTTCACATGGAGACCTTAGAGACTCAATTCGTTTCAAGAGACCTAAGTACGAGTACTCCAAGTAAATGTTACACAAATTGGAAGCATCTTGGATTTTTTAAGTATATTTCAATACATAAATTTGTATGCATGCTTTAAACAAATATATTTCAAGAATGAGAAAGTCTAAACAAAAAGTATGACCAGCACCAGGATTGAAGTTTTCTGATTTTAATATTAGTCTGACATAGCGTTAGTAACCATGCTGCACGGAAACATGTAATGGTACAGTCTGAATCATGATTTGTTAAATATTCTACCCCACACCCCCAGAATACTTAGGCTGGTCATAAAGTTAACTGTGTAAGTAAGTACATAAGCATAATCAGGTATGGACAGCCTCCTGTATTAATTGCTGTTTAGCAATACACAAACTGCCTCAAAGACTTATGCTTACAGGTAGACATTCAATTATACCAATAAAACAGCATGTCCTGAAAATATGGGCACGTTTGAAAACATTTTAAGACAATTCTGTTAACCATAATAGTCCCACAGTATGACTGAATAGTAAGAACCTACTTTAAAAGCAAAAAATTTAATCAGCATAGTGCATGATTGATTCAACATAGTTCCCAGGGAACAGACCAGTCACTCGATTGCAGACTCCTTCATACCAGCCATCGTCATTCTTCTTTATTACATAAATGATTGCACCCTCCATAAATGATAGCTCATCATCCTTGTCTTTCGTATAATCATATATTGCCACAACTATGGAAAAAAGAGTTGAAATACCATGTAAGTGTAAGTGCACCATTTCCAGCATTAACTGAATTTTAAAATGTAATGCCAACTAAATCTATAGCATAGCAAAAACCAACCATTTGTATGAAAATTGTGAATTCTTACATTAATAAATACAGGTAAGTCAGTGCCTATATCACTGGCTTGGTCTTAGGATAAAACTGACAATTTGACTAGCTAGAAATCAATAGTTTCAACCAATCCATCCAGGAAAGATCTTCCTATTTTAGTATTGGATGTTTCATTTGTACAAATATCTACTAAGTGCCAGCCACCACAAAGCAACATTTCCCCAAAGTACTGGGCAAAGCTACAGAGTCAATCAGTAAATCAGGTAACAACCCAAGCTATCTAATTTGAAAATACACATCTCCTGGGAGGTAAATCTCATCCTACTCATCCACAGAAAATATACATGTAATTTACGGGGCTAGCCCTAGATTTAAAAAAAAGAAAGAAAAACAACTTACACATTTTAAAGGTCAACAGGGTTTTTAACTTTTTTTTTTTTAAGTTTATTTATTTTTCAGAGACTGAGTATGAGCGGGGGTAGAGTGAGAGGGAGACAGAACCTGAAGCTGGCTCCAGGCTCTGAGCTGTCAGCAGAGCCCAATGTGGGGTTCAAACCCATAAACCACGAGATCATGACTTGGGCCGAAGTCAGACGCTTAATCAACTGAGCCACCCAGGTGCCCCAACAGGATGGGGGTTTTTTTGTTGTTGTTTAAGTGGTAAATAGGTGAGAAAAGACCCATTAATTAAGACTTAGAGAACTGTAGGGGCGCCTGGGTGGCTCACTCAGTTAAGCGGCCGACTTCAGCTCAGGTCACAATCTCGCGGTCTATGGGTTCGAGTCCCACATGGGGCTCTGCGCTGACGCCCAGAGCCTGGAGCCTGCTTCAGATTCTGTGTCTCCCTCTCTCTCTGCCCCTCCCCCACTTGCACTCTCTCAAAAGTGAATAAACGGGGGCGCCTGGGTGGCGCAGTCGGTTAAGCGTCCGACTTCAGCCAGGTCACGATCTCGCGGTCCGTGAGTTCGAGCCCCGCGTCAGGCTCTGGGCTGATGGCTCAGAGCCTGCAGCCTGTTTCCGATTCTGTGCCTCCCTCTCTCTGCCCCTCCCCCATTCATGCTCTGTCTCTGTCCCAAAAATAAATAAACGTTGAAAAAAAAAAATTAAAAATGAATAAACGTTAAAAAATTTAAAAAAATTAAAAAAAGACTTTGAGAACTGTTTGCAATTCTGTGGTATTTGATTATTTTAAGTTCAAATATTCATTTCCTTTTTAACAGTACTATGGAAAGGACAGTCACCAAAAAAATCACAAGTTTTCCAAACAACTGGTTTATGAATTTTATTGTTCCTTCATTCTGCCTTTATAGCCTGATAGTTCTGAAATTACATGCAATTTTCTAGTGTATGTGAAATGGTATGTCATATTTTCACTGATTACCTCATGTTATCTTTTTCTTTTTTTTTTTTTTAATTTTTTTTTCAACTTTTTTTATTTATTTTTGGGACAGAGAGAAACAGAGCATGAACGGGGGAGGGGCAGAGAGAGAGGGAGACACAGCATTGGAAACAGGCTCCAGGCTCCGAGCCATCAGCCCAGAGCCTGACGCGGGGCTCGAACTCACGGACCGCGAGATCGTGACCTGGGTGAAGTCGGATGCTTAACCGACTGCGCCACCCAGGCGCCCCATCATGTTATCTTTTTCTTAAAACAATTCTTAAGATACTTAAGATATTCTGGAACTCACTTTTCCCCTAAGAAAGATAGCTTCTCCTCATAATTATTCTAAATTAGTGAATTATAATAAAGAACAGACCTGAAGCACTGATCCATAGCACCATTTACTAAATTAAAACAGGCAACCTTTTTTTTCCCTTTACAAAACTGTATTAAGTAAACTCAACAAGTCCATTTGTCTCCATTTTAATCCTGCAGCAGATCAGTACTGTGATTACAAGCTCACCAACCTATCCAACATACAGAATAAATTATTATCCTGGTATTGTTTTTGGCTAAATAACCACTCAAGAAAATGAGTGATTACTAGAAAACCATTAGTAAGGAAAACACTGTAATATTTTAAATAGCCAACGTAATACTAATGTGTCAATTATTTATTATTTATTAGCGTTGGTAACACTAATTTCTCTGTACTGAGAGTAAAAATGGGTTAGTTTGTGTAGTGTAGATGACTTTTGAACTGATCGTGACAAAAGCCTCATATCCTCAAAGTTATTCAGAATTTTTAGTTCCACTTAGACAAACAGCTGATAAGAGTACTGAATCAAATTAATTGTTTCTATTTTCCAAGTCCTTTTGTAAATCAATCCTGATCACAGCCAACCTCCCCTCCTTCCAATGCATATACTCTCATATAATAAGGCTTACTACTAAGAATTTAATCATGAAAATTCAATGTCCATTCCACTCTCCAGAATCTGATTCATATAAATAGCTAAACTCCCCCTTCTTCTGTATGTACTGTCAGATTTTTTTGAAACTCAAAGTCTAATACTCTAATCCTACATGACAAAAATTTGAAGACAGCTATCTAGTTCCTCTGCCACCCTTTCCTCAACTTAGAAATACTGCTTTCAACTGTTTCACGTTATAGGTACACTTCCCAGATATTTTGCCTCCTGAATATTCTCCTCTTGAAGGCATTCCTGTCTGCAGGA